TTTCATTCATAGTACAGTAAGTGCCCCTACAAATGTATCAATTTGTATCCTTTAAACTGTGTTTCTACTTTTTCTAGTTTTGATAGGTTTCAATGCACAAATGCTTCCCATTGTGTAGCAGTTGCCTGTAGCAGTCAGTGCAGTAGTACACTGTAGAAATCTAGACTCGGCAGGTGTGAATACTCATGTGACATTCTCACTGAGGAAGTCACCTGACATGGCAAGCCAGAATGTATTCCTGTCATTAATTGATGCAGGAATGAGTGGACAAAATGCTTGGCATTCTAGTCATCAAGGAAATGTAAATTAAGACCACAGTAGATGTCACTTCACACGTCTTGAATGTCTGTTATCAAAAAGACAAAAAATATTGAGTGCCCATGAGAATATAGAGGAAAGGGAACCCTTGCATAATGTTGTTTAGAATGCCAATTAATACATCCATTATGGAAAACAATAGAAGTTCTTCAAAAAATTAAACATAGAACCTCTGTATGATCCAGCAATCCCACTGCTGGCTAAATATCTAAAGCAAAAATGAAACCTATATGCTCAACAGGTATTTGCCCTCCCATATTGAGTGCAGCCATATTTATAATATCCAAGATGGGAAATCAACCCAAGATTCCATCAGTGTATAAATGGATAAAGAAATCGTGGGATAGTCACAATGGGATACTCTTTAGCCTTGAAAAGGAAAGAAGCAAATCCTTTCAGTTGGTACAGCCAAGATGAACCTAGAGGACATTCTGCTATGTAAAATGAGCTGGGCACAGAAAGATAAATATCTCATGTGATCTCACTTACATGTGGAATCTTAAAAGGCCTGGCTCAAGAGAATACAGTGGTGGTTCTCAGGGCTGGTAGAGAAATGGAAGGGTATCGAAGGGGTGAGAGATTGGGAAGATGTTGGTCAAACAATGTAAAACTTCAGTGGAAAGTAATAAATTAAAGAGATTGATTGTACAAATGGCTGTAGTTAGTAACCATGTATCACATACTCCAAAATTGGTAAGGGAGTAGATTTTAAGTGTTCTCACCACAAAAACAGATAAGGATATGAAGTAATGCACGTGTTAATTAGCTTGATTCAGCCATTCCACAATGTGTACATCCTGTATTTCAAAACATGCACAGCCATAAATATGTATTATTTTTACTTGCGAAAGAAGTAAAAGTATTTTTTTAAAAAAACTATCCTTTTACCTAGTAGGATATACATACATTTTAAAGATTTTTACTGCAGGATGTGAAGTATTCTGTTAATGATAACTGCTGTTCATGGATACAATATTGATACTCATTTTTGTCTGAATTCTTCACTTCCTCCTCCTTCCTTATAGTCAGAGGTAGGTAGGCTATACTGTATACTGTAGTAGGAACAGTGATGGCAAACCTTTGAGAGCTTCCAGTGATACAAACAGCTCGCTACAGCGTGCATGCCATAGGTTCGCCACCATTGACCTAGTTGTTGCACACTATCCCATCCTGGCTTGTGTACATTCATTTATACTTTTACATACCTGTTTATTATGTCTTTTGGTCCTTCCTTAACTAAACTGTCATTCATTGATTAACCTTCTGATTCTGTTTCTTTATCTGTGAAAGGTAGTAATTGCTAGTTTGAAGAGGCTGTTGCATGGATTAGAATATGATAGAAGCTCAGTAAATGACTGCCAGTTACGTGTGTTATTATTTATTCCTACATTATGGATCAATGTTAAGGTAGCAGACAGATCTTTTGGTGGTTTTTTTTTGGTACTGGGGATGAAACTTGGGTCCTTGTTGCTTGCGAGGCAGGCGGCAGAACCACTGAGCTAAATCCCCGGTCCATGGGCAGATCTTTTGTATTAAGTAGTTTATAAGATCCTTGTTACTCTGTGTTTCTTTGAATTCTGACAGATTAAGATCTGTGTATTTGTTTGCTTAAGAATTATTGTCTGTTTTTTTTCATTTCGTCTGTTTCTTATGAATAGTGTCATCATGAGAGTTTTGGCTTTTGCCATTGTCCTGTGTTTTGGTGGTCTTGGTGTTTATAGCTAATTTATTACAACAGAGATACTATTTTTCACCATCTGTGAGTTCTGTGCCATTCGGTGAATTATCTATTCAATTGCCATTTTGGCAAGTATCTGACATTTCATGGAATTGTTAAGTCCTCATGGTGTCATTTATTTTCTCTTAGCATGCCGTACAATAAGTCTGATCTAAAAAGCTAAATCTGTTACAGACAGCAGCTAATCACTTCACTCTTATTAAAATGCTAGAGGCACTCCTTAGTGTGCACAGCTCTTGATGATATTTGTAACATGGGAGTTAGGCGGGGAAGCTTGATGTCGGAATTGATAAACATACGATGTTGTTGAGTTTCCCGTGTCTTTCAAAGTTGCGTTGCTCACCAAATGTATAAAATACTCAAATCATCCATTTATATAGTTTTATGGATTCAAAAAGTCTTTAGCTGTTTCACTTTACTTAAAGTTGCAGGACTTCCTGTATGAAAACTAAAGAGAGGTTTGTCCCATCAGACCCTTTGCAGAAGTCCCTTTGGATTTTACAGTAATTTTATGAATGATAAAGTATGTTAAAATAAAATGGATTTTTCCCTTCAAAAACCCAATTTTATTTGTTGGAATTTTCATCAGAACATTTTGGTTTAGGGCTGCCGTTGATAAATAATAAAATAACTATGCAAAAGATTGGGGTGACAGACACTGGGGATTGAACCTAGGGCTTTGACACTGGACAAATTCCCCAGCTCATTTTACTTTTTATTTTGAGAAAGAGTCTCACTAAGTTGTTTGTTTGGTTTGTTTGTTTGTTTTGGTACCAGAGATCGAACTCGGGACCTCACACTTGCGAGGCAGGTGGCAGCACCACTGAGCTAAATTCCTGGCCCTCGCTAAGTTGTTAAATTGTCCAGGCTGGGCTCAAACTTGTGATCCTCCTACTTCAGCCTCTCAGTATTGCTGGGATTACAAGTGTGTACTATCATGCCTGGCTGAGATTTTTGTTCAATTAATAGTGTTGATTGCTGTTATGGTCTTTATTTTCTGTCCTCCTACCTCAATTTAAATGGCATAGATCCAGTGTCATCTTTGATACTGTTGGCATTAAGAAAAATTGTAAAACTTGTAAAATCTTAATTACTTACATAACTACTGACGTGAAGAATTATTTTAAGCTTAGTTTATGATGTTATGATTGTCTACGGCCATACCACCCTGAACACGCCTGATCTCATCTGATGTTATGATTTGCTTTTTTGTTTTTTGAGACAGGATCTTGCTATGAATTCCAGGCTAGTCTTGAACTTGTGGCGATCCTCCTGCCTCAGCCTCAAAAGTGCTAGGTTTACAGGATTGTGCCACTGATGTCACAATTTTTAATTTTTAAAATAGCAGTGGCTTATTATACTTGATGACCCCATACCCATCATCATTTTGATGTACATACTTTGGGCACTATGCGTGAAGTACAGATCAGTGATACAATTGGAGGATGTTGTGTTTGGTACTGTTTATCATTCTGTTTGCTTGTGGACATCAGCTTTTGGGTCATGAACAGTGTACAGCACAGCTGCATTTGTGGAATCATTATGGTGCTTTGAATATGAGCTTCAGCATTGTCTCCTGCATAAAAGATAATCTGGATATCTTTAAGATGAAGAACTGATTGAAGTAGATAAATATTGAACATACTGAGTGCTTTGATATAATTAATTTTCTTTAGAACACTTATTCATTAAAAATAGCTATGATGTACTCAGTGGTCGAGTGCTTGCCTAACATGCATGAGTTGCTTTTGCAATCCCAAGCACAAAAGGAACACAGTTGTGATTTGAAGGTAAAATGTTTGCTTATGAAACATCTTTTTCTGAAAAATTCAGGATTAGAATTCTAAGATATTAAATCAACATAATGTAGAATTTTCCTTTGAATATTAACTTATTTGGTAGAATGGCAAAGCGTCTAGAATGATGAAAATTAGCATTAGCTCTTAATCATTTTTCTGTACGTATGCTTTCCTTTGAATATGTTCTTTTCATAAGATGTGCAGAGACTGTCAAATTAATATACATTTTAAGTATTTGTGGTAAAGATTCTGTCTTATTTCTTCATAATCTTGAACAGTTAGGTGTCTTCTGACATTTATTTTGAAACCTTGTAACTTAGATACTAACATCAGTACATTCTGAAAGATTAAATTTATAAAATTATCAAAATAATATAGTTATATAGAAAATAATAGTGACAAATGATTAAATTCCTCACTCTCCCTCCATTTCTTAAAATATTTAAACATAAATCAGATTGCTGTGTGATTATAACTTTTTAAGTCTCTTTTTGAAAAGAAAACTTTGTTTTTCTGATATTTGTTTCAACCTTTATTTCTAAATTACTTGTGTCCTTAGAATTTAGCAGCCAGTACTTTTACTTTATCATACAAGTAAGTAAAAGCAGTATTGTAGTTTAGCAACATTAACAGCAGTTAGGGCTGGGGATTTAGCTCAGTGGTGCTGTCTCCTGGCTCTCGCAAGCGCAAGGTCCCGAGTTCGATCCCCGGTACCAAAAAAAAAAAAAAGCCAACAGCAGTTGGATAATTTCAGGAAGTTAGGGGTACTCACTTGATATCTTCTTCAGAAAAGACCATATGTGGTTTCTTTAAAAGCGGATTTTTACTCACTCTTAGGATCAAAGTTGATTTAACTTTGATGCTTTGACTCAGTTGCTAAGGAGTTAAGAAGGTGGGTCCACAATGATAGAAACTACAAAAGCAAATAGGGATACATACGCAGTTTGGGCGCAGGCATTTAACCTGTGTTTCTTTGATGTTTACAGAGTAAAAACTATAGTATGTACATTTTTAAAAGTTTTGAAAAATGGCAAGTAATGATTCTTAGAAATATCAAGTTCTAAATAAATAGCAATAATAGCCTTCCTTGTGGTTACATTTTAAATTCTTTGTGCATACATTCTGTTACCTTTCCCTTCTTGTAGTGTTTGATGATGGTGATGAGAGAACCCTGAGACGAACCTCTCTCTGCCTGAAAGGGGAGAGGCATTTTGCAGAGAGTGAGGTGAGTAACATGGACAGGGCTTGTGGGTTGAACAGTAGCTACTGATCTAGAAGCAGAATACAAATTCAGTTCATCTGTTTCTTACCCAGACACTTGATCAGCTTCCGTTAACAAATCCAGAGCATTTTGGAACTCCAGTAATTGCAAAGAAGACAAACAGAGGAAGGAGGTCCTCACTTCCTGTGTAAGTTTTTCATACATAGTCTCATTATAGTTATAGTTATTACAACACTAAATGGGTGATATTTTTCTAGCGTAGCTGAGTTTGATTGGGTAACCTTTCCATGGCATCTTGTATTCTCATGTTAGACATGATATGCTCAGGGGACCTACTCTTAACTCTTGCCATTATTTTACTCAAGAATTATTGCAACTCAATTTCTAAAGGGCTACTTTTAAGTTATTCTGGCAAAGTCCATTATTAATATAATAATTTTCCATTTTAAGTGAGCATATTTTTTTCACTTTTTTAATTCACTTTAAAAAAATTTTTTTAATGTATTTTGGTACTGCGGCTTGAGCCTGAGGCCTTTGCACTGAGCCATGTCCCCAGCCCTTTTATTTTATTGTTTAATGTTGAGAGAGGGTCTCCTTAAGTCACTAAGTTGTCCAGGGTGGGCTTCTCTTGCCTCAGCCTCCCAAACTGCGTAAAAACATTTTAAAATGTTAAAATTTTCAAGAATGATACAATGAACTTCCATGTGTTCTGTATCTAGATTCACCAATTTTTAACATTCTTGGCATATTGGCTTTGTCATTCTCATATATGTGTATATATATATATATATATGCACACACATAAAATTTATAATTTTATTTTGCTAAACCATTGGAGACAAAGTAGAAGCATCATGAGCCTTTATCATTAAATTACCAAAATATGAATATCAAATTCAGAAAGTTTAACTCTGATGGCATTCCGCCACCTAACGTGTCCTTATTTCAAGTTTTGCCAGTTGTCCCAGTCACAGCCTTTCTAGCACCTCGGATCCGACCCAAGATCCTGCCCTTCATGTCATTTATGTAAAGTTCTTAAGTCTCCTGTCATCTGGAAACGTTCTTTAGCCTTTTTTGTCTTTTATGGCACTGACAGTTTTGAAGCACACTGGCAAGTTGTTTTGTAGACTGTTCTTTGATTTGGGTTTGGGTTTGTCTGATTGCCATTTCATTATTAAACTCATCTTGTGCATTTTTAATAGTAATAACTATGTAAGCAATGTGTCCTTGGTGCAAAAACATCAGTAAGCATGGTACCAGTTTGTTCCATGATTGGTGACCTTCCACCTGGTGGAAGTGGTGTCTGCTAAGTTTCTAAACCTAAAAATTATATCCTAGTTACCATTTTTCCCTTTGTAACTTATAAATAATTTGGGTGGGGATACTTCGAGGCTATTTAAATACCTTGTTCTTTATCAGTTTCAGTGATTTTTGTCATTTACTGATAATTCTTGCCTAAATAAGTACTATTAAGATTGCAAAATACTGTAATGATTTCCTAGTCTTTCATTCCTGCTAGATATTTTAGTTGTGAAAGTATAGTCTTACAATTAATACTATTTACATTTGAGAGTAAACCTTAGTTATCTCAGGTGAGTAATCGAAACCCTCATAAGTGTTTCATTGAGATATTTCTATACCTTGTTAGATAAAGTATTGTTTGGTGTCTGATATTAAAAAAATAAAAGGGCAATTGTCAAAAAAAAAGAAGAAAAGAAAATTTATTTGGCATTTAAAAAACAGAAGCGGAGTTGTTAAAAAAAAAAGAAAAGTATATTTGGCACAGTGAGCATTTATTGGTGGTGGAATTGGGCTTTTCTGTCCCAGCTGGTGAATGACAGGAGAACTTGAGTCCAGGTCCTTGCTGATTTGCCGCAGTGGACTCAGTTACCACTGACAGCTCAGGACCACTCGTGCAGGGCCAAGGAGGTTTCCATAGCCTCAATTCAGGTAGACGTGGAGAGGCTGCCTGAGGGACTGGGGCTGAACATGTTCACTTCACATCACTGTGATGGTGTGTTCCGGATGATGATCTAGCCATCCTGCCTTTCAGTAACGAGGATGAGAAGGAGGAAGAAAGTAGTGAAGAGGAAGATGAAGATAAGCAACGTCTCAATGATGAGTTGTTAGGAAAAATTGTGAGAGTGGTTTCTACACCTGAGAGGCCTGAATGGTACCCTGCTTTGGTAAGTAGGCTTCTTTGCATCGTTCATCAAACATAAAATGTTTGTTTATCATGGATTTAATAATTGAGCAGTCCGATCTACAAAATTGTGCTTTGCTCTTGTTGCTTCCTTTCTTTCCTTGTCTCACACTCATGTTTTGGGCTCTTCAGTTCTCCCTTCAGAGTGTGTCCGAGGCCCCTTTTTCCTCTTGCCCAACACCCTTCCACAGTTTCAGGTTCCCTTGGCTTCACTGTTGAGTGCTTTCTTTACTAAATTCACACTACATTTCTAGAACTAACTTGTAAAGAGAAATCTTTTTAAGAGGCTGATTTAATTGTGGCAGTCCTGTTCTCAGAGATGCCCCTGTCAGGGGTGATAGATGCCCGGCAGCCGCAGCTCCTCTGAAAGCTGAGTTGAGAGAGACCAGCCTGGGTAACGTAAATTCCTTCTCAAAATAAAGAAAGAGACAATAAAATATGCCTTCAACAAATCTACTGATTTTACCCTCTTTGATGGGGTATTTGAGGCCATCCCTACCTCATTTGTTTCCTCTTTTTCCTGTAAACTCTACTCAGTTCTTTTTTTAAAAAAAATTTTTTAAATTTTTCCTCGTACGTGTTTGTGGTGCATAACGATTACATTCACCGTGGGGAGTTGGTACGTGGACATTCCGAATTTTAATCAGATTCTTTCTTAACTGCCCCCGCAGTAACATATTTCAGTTTTCTGAGCCTTCACCTTGCCTCAAATTATTAGTATTCCTGACGATCTGCAGTGATTTTGGCTTTGTGCGTGAGTTCCTTAGAAGAGAGTAGTACGTAACTTGGGGTATTTATTGTATTGCTGTCCAGAAATTTACCAACACACCTATGAAATGGCATGATAATTAGAGATTACTGAATAAATTAAAAGGGACTTGGTGCAGGCACTGGATTAGGACAGGGAGTAAGTGTTAGGATGTGTTCACCTGGATTTTAAAGGAGTCTTTAGAAATGACAAGTCTTAGGCAAGTTAATAAAGAAATATTCTTTGCTCACATGGAGAAAGAATGAGAAGAGATGGACATTATTTCATGAGACCAATCAAAAATGCTTGGTAGTAGTTCTCATCTCTGCTGGAAATTTAACTATTTGATTTGGCTACTAGATGAGAGTAGGGAAATAGGAAATAAGACTGCAAGATAATTTGCATCTGAGGTAGAACTAGGAATTTGGAAACCACACTGCAGAGGATTTTGTAGAATGGCTGAGCTCAGTGTTTAGGAATGTTAATGACGCAGTGGAAATGTTGCATCCATTGCTCTCGGGAAGATGGGAGCCAGCAAAATGAATCTGAGGCCATGAGAGTAGCTGACAGGTGAGGTGAGCAGGCTGTGGGTTGTGCCCTGCTCATTCTTTAAGACTTAGGACTCTGCTTCCCTTTGCCACCTGGGTTGACTCTTCCTCCTCAGAGTTTTCATATGGTGCCCTGCCTATTGGTATCACTGCACTTAAGTATATTTTAAAAATTACACTATGCCAAATTTTCATCACATCAGACATTCATAAATTGTATTTTTTTGGACAAAAACTGCAATTAAGCTTAGAATGAATCCTGATCTTTTTAAAGTGGTGGTCACATTTTATTGTCTATCTCATTCGTTTTATAGAGTAACTGAGTAGTTATCTAGAAAGCCAGTAGGCTAAACAAAAAATGAGTTCTTCTCAAGTGATTTGTAAATAATGGGAGCTATTTATAATGGAATTGTTTCTTTTTTGTGGTAGTAAGGTTTTGTGTTTATTAAAGATAGAAAAAAAACGGGCTGCGTAAAACTAGGAGAATAAGTACAGGCTACAGGATGAGCACCGGCTACCGTGAGAGAACACAGTAGCCAGGAACTATTTTGTATAAAATAACCACATGAAGCAGGACCCGGGAGGCTGAAGCAGGAGGATTGAGAGTCAGGGCCAGTCTAGGCCTCTCAACAAGAGCTCATCTTTTTTTTTTTTTTTTTTTACCGTTTGTAAACACTTTCTATTTAATCCTGTTCAGGACTTTTATTAGATACATGCTGTTGCTATCCTCATTTTACTAATGACACACTGAGGCAGAGAGACAGGTAATTTTCTGAGGCTGTACAGCAGGGAAATGGCAGAGTCAGGATAGAATCTGGGCAGCCTATTTTACCTACTGTGTATACTGCATAAAACAGTTTTATTTGAGACAAAGGGAAGTAAATCAGTAAAAACCCAAAGATGAAAATAAATGATGTGTATTAATATTAAATTTGGTAGGAGTTACTAAAAGTTGTATATTCTGTGTGGGCCAAACAGTGTATCTTGGGATCTTGTCACATTCTCACTAATAAAAATTTACAAAGTATCCAAGTACTATTGCAGTGTATCCTCATGCATGACCAAATTCATGATCATTTAGATGTCCTTTGCTTTTCAAATATATTGTTTTGCTCAGCAGTGTTTAGTGTTTCCAGAAATTATGCAACTACATTATTGTGAATTTAGAAACATTGTCTTTTGCCTGGGCCAAAGTAAAAACAATACGTAGGCATTGTCAAGTGATGGATTTACAAAAAGCATTCTTTAAATAAAAGCCAGAGAGGATATGAAGCCAAAAGGCTTAGGACTGAGTTTGGGTCCATCATTTACTGGCTCCAAACCGTGTCTTCCATATGTAGATAATGGAAGCATCACTATCCACTCAGTACTTCAAACTTGGAGTCTTTTTTTTTTTTTTTTTTTTGGTACTGGGGATCAAACTTGGGTCCTTTTGCTTGCAGGGCAGGCAGCGGAACCACTGAGCTAAATGCCTGGCCCAAACTTGGAGTCTTTTGCTCTTCTGTTTTCCTTAATCTTCTAAATCCAAATGATCACTTTGTTCTGATGAGTCTAACTCCTACTGCTTCTTAATTCTTAATTCTTCATCCTCACTTTGTTTTCATCTTCACTGTTTCTAGTCCAACAGTTTTCCAACTAATCCACTTTCTCCACTGTGGCTTCCCCATTGGCTCCTAAGCACAGCATGGAAGGGCTTGCTGAGGGTTATGAGGGCGGGCTTTCTGGATACCTAGCCTGCTGTGTCTCACCAGCACCTTCACTGCCAGCATCCCAGCAGTAATCACGACAGATTGGACTGACCTCTGTGGCTCCTGGGGCTGGTTGTCTTCCATGTGCTGTGCCTGCTCCTCACCTACTTCTTATCCCAGAGATGCAGACTACAGATTGGTCTCTCTTCCTCTGCCTTGTTGCTTTAGTCTACTGAGCTGAGTACATCAATGCCGTGAAGTGGTGGCTGTTTTCCAAAACTAGTATTTTGACTCAAGGGGAATGATCGTTTCTTGGTGCCACTGTTGCTCAATGTCATGATTGTCGTGCAAGACTTTGTTGATGAATGACCTGGAGAACCTCTGACCAGTGATCTCAGTGGAAACTCCAAAATGATATGGGGGGAAGAGATACAACTCCCAAACCTACTAAATATCTGAAACGCAAGTTGGTGTTCTCTAAAATCAAAGAATGAATTCTAGGAACAACAGAGGTTGAGAGTAGGACAATCTTACTGGGAGGAAGAAAGCTTCTGCCTGAGAGACAGAGGGGGACCGGAAAGTGGGTTGCCCCAACAAGAGCTTATCTTAAAAAAGAAGCCACTTGAGAAGTTAGAGGATCCAGAATTGCTCTTTTAAAAAATATATTCATTTTCTGAGCAAGGGAAACAGGAAGCAACTAGTTCTTTGTTTTGTATTTCAGGTGGTCTCTCCCAGCTGTAATGATGACATCACAGTGAAAAAGGATCAGTGTTTAGTTCGATCATTTATTGATTCTAAATTGTGAGTAATGAGTTACTAATAATGTTACATGGGAGGAGTAAAAATGCATCGGGGGGGGGTACCAGGAATCAAACTCAGGACCTTGTGCTTGCCAGGCAGGTGCAGCGCCGCTGAGCTAAATCCCTGGCCCTGGGAGGAGTAAAATTAGAAGCACAGTAGGGCCGGGATTTAGCTCAGCAGCGCTGCACCTGCCTCGAAAGTGCAAGGTCCTGAGTTCGATCCCTGGTACCACAAAAAAAAAAAAGGAAGCACAGTGATAGACCTCCTCCACCAAGACTTTCTTTTTAAAAAGTCTAATAATTTATGAACTGAGAAGTTGATATCTAACATGCTTTGACATTTTATAATGTAAGCTATTTTGTACTGATAAACTTTATATAAAAACTATCAACAGTACATGAAAATAGTGTTTAAACCATGTTTGCTTATTTTTTTAATGAAATGTGGTATTGGATTTTTCTTTAATTACAGAGTTCTTTATTTTTATCATGTGTTCTATTATGAATTATAGAATTTATTTTTAATAGAATTATATTATGAAAATAATTATCTTGCCTTTTTTCTGATTAAAATCCTGACTTTCAGAAACTTTCCCAGCTTTATCTCTGTTTAAAAAAAAAAGTAAAAGCTGGGCTGGTGCCACTTGCCTGTGAGCCCAGCACTCGGGATGCTGAGGCAGGAGGATCACTGCTAATTTGAGGCCAGCCTGAGCTATATAGAAAAACAAACAAAAACCTTAAAATTAGGGCTGGGATGTGGCCCAGTGGTAAGAGTCCTTGTCTAAGCCTATACAAGATCTAAGTTTGATCCCTAACATATCCCCCTCCCCCCACAAAAGTAAAAGGAAACATATATTTATTGAGGCATGATTCTCTGTAAAAATGAATACCATGATATACCTTATAATGGTAAAAGGATTTTAATACTGTCTTCAAGTAATTGCTTTTTTAAACTAAAATTAGTAAAAGTTAAATATTGAACTACTATTAAAATAAGCATTATTGTCTACAAGTGTGGAAAGCATCATGCTGATAGAAATTACCCCTTAACTATCTGTTGGAGGATTGTGTAGAATGAAGTACTCCAAATTTGAAGGTCTCAAATTTTAATGTTCTTTGACTATGTAAAATTTTGGGATTAGGATAGTATCTTTCCCTGTAGTTCCACTAACCCTTTTCTAAGAATTTGAATTTGTGTGGTCTTTGACTTTTAAAACAGCATATAGGCAAAGTAACTTTTAAGTTCTGAGGTTCATGTGTTTAATGGATTAACATGGACTACTTGAGTGCTAATTTTTATTTAATAAGTGGTTTTCCTCCTCTTTTATTCTTCCCTCTAATTAGTTATGCTATAGCGAGGAAGGATATTAAAGAAGTAGACATTCTCAATCTGCCGGAATCTGAACTCTCTGCTAAACCAGGTAAAATAAGGACAAACCAATCCATTATTTCATAGCATAGCTCTTTAGGGACAGTAGTGAGTAAAGTAAGACCTACTACTCTCTCAGGCCATTTTAAGTGTTTAACGGTGTAACTACTCCTCTTTGATGGCAGGTTTTTTTTTTAAATGTTTAGATAAAATGTTTGATTTGTAATTTGTAAACTTTTTTGTTTTATCATTTCGATTTCTAACAGCATTCCCTAACAGTTATGCAACATTGTAACTTATGAGATGTGTTCCAGTTTACTATATCATTTTGTAATAGCTGGATTTGAATTCAGGATCTTCTCACTCTTTTGAGGGTCATACGTTTGCTATAGCTCTGTGCTAATAATTCCACAGCAACTAAAGTATACTTTCACTCTTAGAGCTGCAGAAAGCGAGTATCTTCTTAAAAGCTAGAGTTGTTCCTGACAATTGGAAAATGGATCTAAGTGAAATCCTGGAGTCGTCCAGTAGTGATGATGAAGACGGCCCAGCTGAAGAAAACGATGAAGAAAAGGAAAAGGAAACCAAAAAGGAAGAAGAGGAGGTGGTAGGTACAGTTTTATGTTTATAACAAACAGAAACATGTTAATGCTCTCTAGTACAAATAACATGTTAATGCTCTCTAGTACAAATAATAACCCTCATATATTTTTCCTCTGTTGAGAGTGTTTGTTTCAGTCCATTTTTGATTTGGAGGTTGAGGACACTTCTTTGGCTCTTGCCTCAGTGTGTCAAGCAGGATTAATTTTTAGTAGGGAGAAGTCACAAACAGGGCTGAGCATGGAGCTCATCAGCACTGGCCTCGCGTGTGCAAGGTCCTGGGTTCAGCCCCTTCCCCAAAAAAGGAGCATGAAATTACAGGGAAGTGCTTTTCATCAATCAGCAAATATAAATCAGTTTAGGGTCTTTTCCAAATAACCCAGGAAGAAGGAAATGGAACTTTTAGGTATTTTTGAATGGGTTACTTGTTTAAACCATTACTATATGAAGGAACTGTTAATATCCTACTTTAAAGATGAAGTAAGTGAGATTCAGAAAGGTTAAACAACTTTCCCAAGGCGACACAACTAAAAAGTGGAGAGTGGATTGAACCCAGGTCTGGTTTCTCTTAGCTTCAAAACCTTTTCTGAAGGCAAAAAATTCCTATCTAAACCTGATGCAAATTTCAGTTGATAAACAGTAAAGATTTCGGTTGTATTTTCTAAGTGCAGATAGTTGTCTTTGTAATACTGCCATGTCATTTAAAATATAATCATAAATAATCCATGAAATACACATAATTGCTTACTTGAGTATTATCCGTTTATTCAACAGTATTTAAAAATTTTCCAGTATATTTTTGGTTTTAGGGGATTAGAGGTTTGAGGCAAAACAAAGAAAATGCACTGAGAGAGAGAGCCTATTTAAACGTGAAAAATACTTAGGTGGAAAATGTAAAATACTTGTTTCTCTTTTACATACACAAATGTGAATTTATGAAGAAACACAAGTATACTTGTATATGGTGAGGGGTAGACGCTATTTCTTGCCTTTTACTTCCCCTGCAGTATTTGGTTTTTTACACTCTGAAATCGGAATGGCGGTTCATACTTACAGGCTGCCTACAGAGTTGCCATAGTAACGTGCTGTTGGTTTTAAGTGAGCATGCTCGGAAAGACAGGAAGGTTTAGCAGAGGCTTGGCAGGTTGCCAGTGGAGGTTTGCCAGATGCTTTGAAATGGGCTGTCTTTCTTTTCCTTTCATGTAATGTCTGATTTTTATGTGGAAGAGAATATAAGTAGTGCTGTAGAACCCTGCGGATGCTATGCCCTAAGAGGGGAAACAAATATTTGCAAGTCAGACTGAACAGTGTCCAGACCCTGTACTGATTAAGTAGAAGGGGAATCTAACCATTCTGCATTTGAAGGAAAATGCAGCACATAGGTAAGAATTTTTTTGTGTGTGTACTTAGTTACCATTTTGATTGCCAAAGTGAGATTGAATAGGAATCTTAGGTATTGATGATGTGGTTTGTACAAGTGTAATTGTTTCTTGTAAAAAAGACAGTAGGGATCTATTTTTAGATTATCAGAAGGAAGGCTATTTTTTTTAAACATGACATAGATTTTGGAATGAAAATGGTAACAGGACAGTTTGGCAAATTTGGGATTTAAAAGCTGAATATTAAATGTGATTTTTGTATTTTATCTGTTTATTTATAGATTATGTATTTTCAAGGCAAATAGGCCACATTTTTCAGGGTCTGAACTGTTGTATTCTGTGGTTTAGCGCTTGTTCTTTAAATTAGCATTAGTTAGAACCTTATATTACCAAATATTGAAAACATTAATCTGTTTAATTTTGCTAATACTTTTAATTGGTGTCCCTTGCAGAATGCATTTCCCTACCCTCTCCAAACCCTGAAATTTTAAACAAAGAAGGTGAAAAGAGCTTTGTAGGAAGTTGCAGAGTGTGGCTATAAAACAGTAAATAGTGCTCCTATTAATAGTGATTAATTTTATAATATTACAGTGTTTTATTCAAGCTGTGAGTAAACGTTAATGAAAACAGAATGAAGAGCAGAGGCAAAGCTCTGTTACCTATTGTTTGTAGGAAATAGTAAAGAAATTTTAAAGGGTAAAGACATAAGGATATTGTTGTCTAAAAATATAACACTTAAATTATGATCTTGTTAAAATTAAGTGGATCAGGGTGCTTTTCATCTACTGAAAAATAACAGTAAACATTACAGAATGTAAACACTGGTTTACATGATTATTTTAATTTATTTTTCACATGGCCAGTTTCATAGCATTTGCTTTATTGAATTCCTTGATACAAACTAATTCCTCCTTTCCTCTGGCCATACAAGTAGGTTTCCTTAAAAAGAATCAGCTGCATTTCTTGCTCTTGGATTTAAGATTTAGTTGCTGAATCATTCTAACTTGTTTTGATCAGTAATTTTTAAAAAAACTAACATATTGATAAACTGAAAAACATTTTAATCTATGTACAACAAAGAGGTAAAAATGAATATAGCATGAAATGAGTAATCTGATAAGCCGGGGCCTACCTGGCTTAGTCATTATGGGCCTTTGCCACAAAAGTGAGGCTCAGCTGTTGTGTTACTTTACAGATCCCAAGTCTTCCCAAAACGTAATGACGACAGCAGTTTCAGGAAGATTCATTGTTGGTGTACAGTGATCAAAATGACCTTTTATAATATTCTCTGAGCCATTATGAAAATACTGCAGCCTGACTTTGACGTGTGTAGTACATCAGGCAGTTCCGTGCAGTAGGATCATACAAGTGTTAGACATCTCTGCAGTGGTAATTCCATCTGATGCTTGGGATGTGCTAACCTAAAAGTAACAAGGAGATTAGAGACGCCACAGCTTTTCTTGGAGTAGCATCTTTTTCTTTTTAAATTTATTTAATATTATCTTGAATTCTGAAGCATTTGTTCAGGATACAAGTGCAAAAAATACATCTCACACTCTTACGGCTTGGGAAAAGACATGAGGAGCTGACAGAAAGTAGGCCTTATCTATTTGATTACTTTAAATTTTGACTCATTGATACTTATGTTGAAAAAAGCCCTGGAGAATATATTTATGGTATTACTTCAATGTCTCAGTTATGAAAAGTTTATATTAGGAAAGGTATTACTGCATTTTTTTAATTGAAAATGCCAGGTAAACACAAGTAATGATATTAATTATTCTTTTATTTCTTGTATTTACTTTGGATAAATATAGAGGTTTTTTTAAATAAATGAATGATTAGATTGACCATTAAGAGGAATTTGACTGGTCTTAGCTTTTTAAATCTTTATGTTTTACTATAAGTAGACTTATGTATTGAGTACTTTAAAAAAATCTCTTGGGCCTGGGATTTAGCTCAGTGGTTCCACCACCTGACCCACAAGCGCAAGGACCCGAGTTCAATCCCCAGTGCCAAAAAAAAAGCCTCTTTTATCATTTCATATTTAGTAATGAAAGTTAGGTTTAGTGAAATTTTTACAAAAACTGCTCCTTTTAATGTAGAAGTAATGACACTTATTTTTCTACTCTTACAGATTTCCTAGAGAATCACTGTTAAACTTGATGCCTAAGATTATATTTTACTATTATAAAAATCATTAGTGTTTGACTTTTTAAATTCATAGAAACATGTATATTAGGCATGGTTGCACACATTTGTAATCCCAGCACTCAGGAGGCTGAGGCAGGAGGATCTTTGGGAGTTTGAGGCCAGCCTGAACTACATAGCAAAACTCTGGTTTTTGATGTTAAATCAAGTGTTATTTTTGCTTATTAATCTGTGCCTTTTTCATAGATTGTAAAGGCAGTGGTTAGTGATCATTCAAGATCACTTTGGGCATAAAACCTATAGAAGATAGTTGATAACGCAGGAAAACCATGCTAAATCAATAAAATTTAAAGAGGATTTCAAATGTAGTGTAAATCTTTTAGTTATATCTGATAACTTCAACTGCCAGTCAAGTTTCTGTGCAGATCCTGAAAAGTCAACCTTCAATAAACAATTGAGACCTTAACTTAAACTCAAATATAACAACTTACTTTCTTTTTTCTTCCGCTTTTGCATTGCTGGGGATTTAACCCAGGGCCCTGCACATCTAGGCAAGTGCTTTAGCACTGAGCTCTGCCCCTAGGCCATCCCTTGCTGAATACTATAGCATTTTTTTTCTGGTACAGGGGATCAAACTCGGGGACCTAGCACTTTCGAGGCAGGCTGCGGAACCGCTGGGCTAAATCCCTGGCCGACTTGCTGAATTCTTACAAGTTAACTTACAAGCAAACTCTTTCTTCACCATGTTAGCATGAGATTTTGGCAAATTAATCTAATCAGATTAGTAAGGATTGCACATTCATACACATAAATACAGCTTCATTTTTATGTACTTGAGTAACACTTTATATTAATATGTTTTATAGTTGTAGTCATATAAAAGGGTTGACTGATAACTGAACACTTGGATTTGATAGCACCCAGACCTCATCTGGATGATTAAAATGTGTGTACTTTTCAAATGAGGGAGAATTACCAAGCTCCATTAACGCTATATGATAAAAGAGTCACATAATCATTTATTTTAGGAAGGGTGTTGTTAAATGTAAAACAGTGTCTTACCACATTATGTGATCCCTGAAATTTTCTGTAAGTTTATAACAGGGATGGACAGTAACACTAAATTTTATGATTATCAAATTTCAGTGGGCCTTTGGTCAGTTCGCAGCTTCTGTTATCAGACATTATCCCTTCCATTAAACCAACAGCCCTAGCTCTGCTTTACTCCAACTTCAGAAATTGAGCTGGGTGGGGTCTTAGTCCTCGATGACCACTGTGTGGTTGGGGATACAGTGTCATCATCTGTAAGACAGATCCTTCCGTTCTCCCATGAGTCTCATTCCCTTTTTTCTTTCAGGAAATCTGAGACTGTCAACTCTCCTTTTCTTTTTTGCATGTTTAAACTATTCCTGTCCACAGTATGGGTCTCCCCCCAGCCCCACCTTTTAGCAGTACTGGGGATCAGAACCAGGGATGC